GCCTTTCATTTTATTTGATTTTATTTTGATTGTACATTTTTGTTTTCTGTTGTGTATAATTGTTTAAAGAAATGAATAAATTTCTAAATAATAAATAAAATAAATAAAGTTCAGGAGAAGCATTTACTTCACGGTGAGAGGCGCATCATGCAGCAGCAGTGTGATGAGACTCTGAGCAGGAAGACAGGACTTAGTCAGGTCCAACCGTCTGAAGGTCCAGAACCTCTGCAGAGACACCAAACTGCTGACCAGCTTCAACCAGACTCTCTGTGATGGTTGATGTTTGTGTAACGCAACAGAAAGTTCTTCAACATGCAGAGAGCTGACCACCCTGCCTCTTCTGACCCACTGAGACAGGAACAAGACCATGCTGCTGGAAAGTCTGAAACCAGAGAGAATATATCAGAACATTAAGAACTGCATGGTCAGTATAAATGAGAAACTGAGAAGTGTTTTCAGCTTCCTGCCTCAGGCTGTGCAGGTGTGTTGTATATCTTAAGAGATCAGCAGCTCCTCTGACAGACATCCTGTTGGCTGTAAGAACCAGGTCCACTTTAGAGCCACACAGTTTGAGAACCCTGCCCACAGAGCTGCAGGTTTTCCTCTGTAAATCTCCTGTCAGAAGCAGGTTATAGTTCAGCAGCTGCAGCAGAAACACCAGCTGATGGTTCTCCTCTCTGGATCTCACAAACACGGAGGAACAAACCCTCTGAAAGAAGTCTTGATCACAGCTGGAACACAAGAGACAGATAACATGACATGAACAAGTTTATACTGATAGAAGAAAAATCTGACTGCAAATAAACAGTGCTGGAAAGATACAAAAAGTACCACAGTAAAAAGACACATTACATAATTTTAAATGTTTTGAAATAAGTCAAATTTGTTTAAAAAAACCTTTTATATTTTGATACTGAAGTTATTGATGAGCCCTGACGTACCTGAGCTGTGAGATATAAGGCAGACACTGCAGGAAACTCTTCACTTCACTCTCTTCATGTGTGAAGCCTCTGAGCTTCACTTGTTTCTTCTCTGATTGGAGTTTCAGAACTTCCAGGAGGATGGAGGATTTTCTCTCTGACAGGTTTATGATCCAGACTGTATCTGACTGGAAAACTGACTGTAATGATGGAAGGAGACTCAGACCTGTTTTAGTTTCACGGTCCTTCACCTGAGAGTACAGATCCAGCAGGAAATTACTCTGATAATAATCATCATTCATGAATGTTTCATTCAGAGGGAATGTTTTATGTCCACAGACTGATGATAACAGCTCCA